CCCCAGGCCCCGAGCTGAGGACGGAGAGCCCGGAGGACAAATCCCCCCGGCAGAGCCTGGTGGGAGAGGCCGTTTTGAAGGGCTCCACCGTGCAGGAAGGCAGCGGGGAGGAAAAGGCCCAGAGATCCCCCCGCAGGAGGGGCTCCAAAGCCAGCCCAGGGTGCTCTGAGGAGGAAAGACCCAGCCTGTGCCAGGAAGGCGGCCGGAGCTTGAGGGGGAGCTCTGAGCTGGTGATCCCTGAGCAGCCTCCCAGCAGGGAGAAGCCCTTCAGGTGCTTGGAATGTGGGAAGAGCTTCAGGACAAGCACCAAACTGCTCCAACACCAGCTTATCCACACTGGGGAACGTCCCTACACGTGTGGGGAATGTGGGAAGAGCTTCAGGCAGAGCTCCAACCTCTGCATCCACCGTCGCATCCACACTGGGGAACGTCCCTACATGTGTGGGGAATGTGGCAAGAGCTTCAACCAAAGCTCCAGCCTGATCCGGCACAAGCACATCCACACTGGGAAACGGCCCTATTTGTGTGGAGAATGTGGGAAAAGCTTCAGCCAGAGTACCCACCTGATCCGACACCAGCACATCCACACCGGAGAACAGCTCGCGAAGGAGGTGGGAGAGGGGAGCCTGTGCCGGGAAGGCGACTGGAGCTTGAGGCGGAGCTCCGAGCTGTTGGTTCTTGAGCAGCCTCCCAGCAGGGAGAAGCCCTTTCAGTGCTTGGAATGTGGGAAGAGCTTCAGTGACAGCTCCACCCTCCGCACCCACCAGCGCATCCACACTGGGGAACGGCACTACAAGTGCTTGGAATGTGGGAAGAAGTTTAAGACCAGCTCGAATCTCCTGCTGCACCAGCGGACACACACGGACGAGAGGCCCTTCTGCTGCTCCAACTGTGGGAAGGGCTTCAACCGGAACTCCAACCTCGTCACCCACCGGCGCATCCACACCGGGGAGAGGCCCTACAAGTGTGGGGAGTGTGGGAAGAATTTCACCCGCAGCTCTTACTTGACCAAACACCAACAGACCCACTGGTAAGGAAAGCCCTACCAGTGTCCCGACTGCGGGAAGAGCTTTGGCTGCTGCTTCCACCCCAAATGAAGCCCCTGATGGTGAGGCAACCCCTGGAGTCCAGTGACTGTCAGTCCATCCCTTTCGACCACAAAGGGTCAGTCCCCTTTCCCAGGGGCAGCTTCTTCCAACAGAACCCTTCTTGGGGGGTGTGTGGAGATTCCTGCCTTGGCTGGGGACCCCCCCAAGGTCACTGCTGGAGGTTGAGAGCAGAGATCTCCCCACGAGCGTTGGTCTGGGGGAGTTCCATCCATCTCTAATTAAGAATTCTTGCTTTTGTGCCAGCTTGAGTAGAATTGCTTCAAGAATTGCTTTAGTGTAGAGCACTGTCCTACCTTATCCTGTACTGATGGTAGTTTTAGTGTTTGTATTGTGTAGTAAATAATTCTGATGAAGATCTTTTGTCTGATCATTTGGAACCCTAAATAAATTCATTTCTATCAATAGATCTGATTTGCCATCATTAAAAGCTGGGGGACAAAAGTGTTTCAGTCACACCTCTGTAATTCTTCTAAACTGCAACTGTTGTCATAATCCAAGGCTGAGATTGGATCCAGCAGTCCCCAGCACCCCACAGTAATTTGGGTTAGGTGGGGTCCTGGGTGGGCTTTGAGTGTGTTTTGGGGGGTCCCAGCACCTTTTGGTGTGAGCTGGATGCTTTATTGAGGGGCAGGTGCCCTCCCAAAGCCCCCCCAGAGCGGATTGACATGGGGGGACACAGGGGGTTCCCCATTCTCGATCCATCTCAGGCCGGTTCTGCCCCCCCCAAACTCGGCTCCACCCCTTGGGATTCCCCCAAGCCCCTCCTCCACTGCCCCCCAATAACCGGGACTGGGCAGGAAGCGGGGAGGGCCCGGCGGTGTCTGGTAGAAATAAATCAGGGCAAATCTCTCTTTTACCCCCTGGGCAGTGACCATCAAGAGGCGTCCCTGCTTTACAGCAGAAGCTCCACACACTTTCAACAAAGTCTGTGGAAGAATCTGCTCTATGAAAGTTGGCCCTGGGCTTTTATACTTATTCAGTGATGGATCTCCAGTCACATATTGCCAGGCCAGTGAGCAGCTGATCTGTCAAACTCTGCTTCCAAAAGCAGGATGTGTGTTGGAAGGTTGGGGAACCAGGCTGGGTTTGGCACAATTCAGCACTAAACCAACCCCTTGGCACCAACAGTAACTCCCCACAGAGAGCTTGCAGTGCTTGCATTCTCCCATCAGATTCTTTTCCAGGTAGAACATCCTGCTACAAGGGGTCTGTTACCAGACCTGGGTTGGGGGTAACCCAGGTTCTTATTAATAAATCCCTTGGGGTGGATTAGAGTGAAACAACACTGAATAATCGGTGTTTGAAAATATATATATGTAGAGTTTATTTCAGAACAATTTTGTTTCAAAGGTAAACAGGTATGTTGCCATTTTGGGTGTTATCATCTCTATCTCTCATCTACAGCATTGTGGCATAAAGAGAACCTTTAGGGAAAATGCATAAGGGAGAGAAAGGAAAGACAGGATAAGGGAGAGGGAAAGTAAGGGAAAGCAAAGCTGAGAGTGGAAAGATGTCTATAGTCACTGCCCACGGGGTCCAGCGATGGAACTTGGGAGTTGCAGTTTCCATGTCTGTGAGTTGAAGTGGTGGCCTTGATCTGTTGGGGGTGGGGGAGGGAAGCCCCCACACTGCAAGAAGTTCTGAGTTATTATATCCATGGATGGTGTCTCGGGCCATGCCACGAACCCCCAACATCTCCTGGGCCTGCGCAGAGTTCCCGTGAGGGGCCTGGGAAAAGGGTTTTTCCTGCCTTCCAAGGTTAGCAGAGGGGGGGATGGGCTTTGATGGGCCATCAGAGGTATAATGCAAAAGTCCTGTAGAAGCCTGCAAGAGTCCCTTGGCAATCCTAGAATGCATAAATCATGAACCGTTTCAGTCTCTGACACCACCCTGTGATTTATGCATTCAATAATTTCTCTTCTTTTGTTGTTCACTGTGAATCTTCTTTGTGGGCGGCGCATTTCATGTAGTGGACAGAAAGAGAGAAGAGTAAAGAAAAGGATGAGATAGCACAAATCTTTTCCCAATGCAATGCAATTCCCGAAAAAAACCCAAACCTTACAGTAAAATAGTAAGCATATGGGACATAACAGGACCTCAATAGCTACAGTCAAATTTCCTAATATTAACAAAGGTACAAACATCAGGATTTAATACTGACACAAATCTAATTTTCACTAGCCACTCTCTCCACCCTGTGAGTAATCAGGGCATCCTTTAATGCGTGGTGGGTGTGAGGAATTCTATGATAATGTGTCTGTTAGAGGGGCCAATGTGTCTTGAAATTGGACCTGAAATTACACATCAGTTCTTATGCAAACACAATGAGTTACTTGGGAGATGGTACAAGGCTTTCTTATATTCTCTTTAGGTCACACTTTCTTTTCTTTTGTCTAGATTTAGTTTAATTTGTTAATCTTTTGAGAAATTTAACCAAATATAAAATTTGATGCCTTCTGAGGCAGAGGGTTAATGCATCTAATACATATTTGTATGATTCCAAATATGCATAGATTCTTGTACCAACTCCCAGGCTAAATTTGGTGGAGTTTCTTGGTTCTCAATTGATTGAGACAGAATTGTACATATCTAAAAGCTTCTCCCAAGCCAACTTGTTTTTCAATAAAAAGACAAAATAAACTTGACAAAAATTAAACTAGCAATATATAAAAGGGCTTGTCTCACACAATCTTACCAGTGAGTTGCTCATGATAAAAACACAAATAAGTCAACAATTATTAATAAGGTGATAATACAAGCAATTTTGGGAGTAGAGGAGACACAAACACAATGTTTGTGATAAATTTTACATATTGCAAAACTACTGAGACAAAAATACACACAGACATGCATATCACAAAGTTATTAAGATAAAAACACAAATACTTGTCAAAGAACAGTAGAACTCTCCAGTCCTGTTGCCACTTCGTTTTCTCATGACATACTTGTAAACTGATAACAGAAGCAGTTGTGGGGGCAGTTCTCTCTTCTGCCCATTGCAGCAATTGAAAGCTTTATCGCTCTCACACAGTTTGATCTCATCTGCTGGCAGGTTCCTGCAAAAAGAGGAAATCTGGCCCACTATGGACCCATTATTAAAAAGAAGGAATTATCTATTTACCCAACTCCTTTTCTTATCTGGCGTGATGCCACTAGGGCAGCAATAATGGAGAAGTCTGGAACGTGTTTTCTCCAAAAAGCAAATAAACCCAGACCATGCTGGAGCTCTTTTTTGCTCCTCAGCATCTTTATTTGCTGTGGGGTGGCCAAGGTGTCAGAGAGAATACACACGGCTACTTTTTCGGTGGGAATTTGAAGTCTCAGACTTTCCAAGTGGGTGATAGTATTTGTCTGGTCCACTGTGGTGACATGAGCAATCTGGGCAATCAATTCAGCTTTGTTATGTCCAGCAGCTGTTTGTGAGCCAGTGTCAGCACCGAGGTAACTCACTGGCAGCTGCCACTGCCCATCAGGTTAATGGACAGGCCCCCTCCCCCCAAGGATAGTTTATCAATATATCTGTCTATCTATCTGTAGGGTTTAGTTTGGAAAAATGTTGTCTCCATGTAAAGTAGGTTTGGGGCAGTTTTGGCTCCTGTCTATAGTGATATAAAACCAGAAAAATAACACTTCCCCTCTCTGGCTCCAAGCCCAGACTGTCCCCTCCAGGGCTGGGTGTTCCCCCCTCTGCCCCAGGTGGTTCTGTTGCCCATGGGCAGCAAAGCCCCCACTGCTTCTGCAACTGGAGAGTGTTGGAGCCATGGACCATTAACATTCCAGTCTCTCCCAGCTCTGCATCCCAAAAGTCAAGAGGGATCAATCTGTCACCTCAAAGTGGATCAATCCCACTGAAAATGGCTCGATCCCACCCCAAAATTCCTGTGTTTCTTATTTTCCCTATGTAATTCTGGGGCAGCCAGTGCCACCTCTCAGCTCTCTGCAGGCTGAGGCTTGGCCTTGCACTTTTGCCTTTGCTGGATTTCTTCA